TAGCAAACCCAAGGCTAACATCATACTAAATACAGCAATGATGAAAGCTTTCTATTTAGGATCTGAAACAATACTAGGAAACCCCTCGGTTATAACCACTGCTGGCACCACACTGATGAAACTCCAACCAGATAGACCAAGCAAGATAAAGAAAAAGGCCATCTTAACTGGAAAGGGTGTGGGGGGTAAATTTTCATTCTGCGCAGATGTCATGTACTTCTATAAGGAAAAAGTAAATGATTTCACCCAAACATTCTTAGAACCAATGGAAACTTCAGCCAAGTCTTAAGATGCATATCTGACATTTAAAAAGTTTCAACACACCAATAGCAAATGATCAAGGAAAGAAATTAAAAGAAAATCCTACTTACACAAGTAACAAAAATAAAAAAAGAGAAAAATTAACCAAAAATAAAACAATTTAACAATGTAAACCTTGAAAAAGTAAAAGGCATCATATGTCCACAGATTGAAAGATTTTGTATTATTTAAATATCAATGACATGGGTCAGAGCAGGTATCTTAGTGAGTGAGAGAGCTTCCCTCCATAGAACCAGAGTTCAGTTCCCAGCACCCACATCACATGTGAACTCAGTAATTCTAGCTCCAGGAGATATGATGTCCTCTTTTGGGCTCTATGAGCACCACATACATGTGGCGTTCACTAACATAGAAACACACATCTATATGAATAAAATCTAATTTGATTTTTAAATATACTAATCACACTGGTCACACAAGTACAAAAAATGTTAAAATTTATATTGAATCACAAACAAAACTAAATAGCCAGACTCATCTTGGATGAAAGGAACAAAGCAGAACATATTGGAGTGCCTGACTTCAAAATACACCACAAAGATACAGTAATTACAGCATCATAATATGAACACACAATGAGAACTGAGTAATGAAACAGAATAGAGATACCTGAAGGAATCTCACTAGTCTACATTGAATTGATTTCTAACACATACTGAGAAAAGGCATTGGGGAACAGACAGTCTCTTAACTACTCCTGGAACAACTATATATATCCATATGAAGAAGAAAACTATACACTAACTTTGCATCAAATCAAATTCAAGAAGGTCCTAGTTGGTTATTATGTCAAATTCAACTTAAATACATGAAAGGCTTACATGAAAGACCCAAAACTATAAAACTATTAAAAATAAAATATAAGGAAACTACTTAAACACATCACAATTGGAAATGTTTATCTTCTAATTAAGAAAAATAAAAGAGGATGAGAAACAAAACCAAAATTATAAAAGTAGGATGACAAACTAAAAAGCATCTGCATAGCCAAGGAAACCAGCCCTCAAAATGGAAAAGACAGCTCACATTACCAGGGAAAATAAGTATAAACTGCACAACTGACCTTAGGATAACACTTACAATATGTACAAAGCTCAGCTGACTGCAGCAAAATAGAAAGCATGGAAAAACGGCCCAATCTTTAAAAAACAGAAAGCGGGTGTCAACAGACACTTCAAAAAGAAGACTTAAATGGACAGCACATATATAAAAAATATACTCAACATCATCATGGAAACATAAAATGAACCACACTGAGCCGTCATTTCATCATAAGAATGACTGTTTTAAAAACCCACAAAGCAAAACACAAACTGTCAGGGTAGGAAAAGGGGAATCCTGGTTCACATTAACTCAGCCATTGAGGTAAACAAGAAGGAAATTACACAGAAATTCAAAATAGAACTACTACACAATCTACTGATCACCTTACTATTAATTAAATCTGTCTGCTAACTAGGTATCCTCATTCCCTTGTTTATTTCAGCACTTTTCATTCAAGCCAAGATATGAAAGCAACCTAGTTATCCATCAACTGATACTGAAAGTGTGCCAGAAAGACACAGCAGAATATTATTAAGACATAAAAATGAATTAAATCCTGCTAATTGCAACACCAAGGATGGACCTAGAGATCATGAAATTTCTTGAAATAAGCAAGTAAAAGGAAGGCAAAAGATGCAATCTTACTCATACATTCAGTTTTAAAATAGTGTCATAGACAGTGAAAGTAGAATGGTAGATACCAGAATCTGGCTAAAGTTGTAGAAAGGGGGATAAATAGGGACTGAATTACAGTTAGTCCAAAGCCAGACATTCTGGTGAGCAGCTGAGCCATGAGAGACTCTAGATAATAAATATACACAGAATGTTGAAAAAACATTAGAATGATTTAATCATAAAATGTTATGTGTGTCCTAGGAAATATACTTACTCTGATTTGAACATTGTATATTATGCACACTGTGCCCCACAAGTACTATGCATAATTTGTATAATAAACATTTTGTATATACAACTAAAAGGCCATTATAAATTAGCCCCATTTGCTAATTCAAAGACAAATAATGCATTTAAATGTAAGGCCTAAAATGTATAACTCTTAGTGATAACTGAACAATTTGTATACAAATTAAATACTTTTGGAAATATTACTAAGCCTTCAAAAAGGACCTCATTTTATATTATTCATTATAAAATATTTTTATCACTGTTATATATGAAGCACTGTGAAAAATAAAGACGTGTTAATAATAGGACATTGTCGGTGTTTATAAAGTACAAAATGAGTGTAATTAAATGCACATTAAAAATAGTGTCCAATAACATAAATCTGGTTTAGTAAAGTCACAGGCCAACTACAACCAAGTACAAGTGAGAAGGGGCAAGCACTATTTGGGTTGATAGCGACTTCTAGATTGGGGATGAGGTTGCAGACACAAAGGTAACTACTTGAAATTTGAAAGTTTAGTGATGGTAGAGAAAAATCTGGTGAACATGGGCATGACGATTACATTTGAAACTGTGTGAAGTTGGTGACCATAAAAATCTGATTATTCAAGAATATTAGAGACAGATAAAGAATCAATGCTAGTGTGGAGTTCCATGTATTGCTATAGTGCCTATGTTTTTTAATGTTGTTTTATATTTTTAAACCACAAATGAGAATACAACTAATTTATAATATATTCAATATACTTTTGAGTTCTATGAAGGAAAGTGAGTTTTATTTGCTGGATTTTTTCCTATCTCAAGACATAGTAAGCATGTCTAAAGTAACACATTTTCTTTCCTAATTTTTACAAGTAAATCTTTAACTTGTAGTGACTTTCTTCTCTGATAATGACACATGCAACAGAGATATTTCTGAATGTAAACAGCAAGATGATTACAAACTCTTTAGAGTACCGACTATGCTGTTACTTATACGTGACAAACTTGTCATTGGTTAAAGGGGTGTGGAGAGCTAGCTTAGAATCACTTAGGTGAAGGATGATGTTAGAAGATTAATGACAGAGAACCATAATAGGACTTCTGGACCAAAGCACAGAGGAAATTCAGACTGAAATGACTCTCTTAAGTCTTGGACAAATAGGGATTAATTACAGAGCCCCAGTGTACTTCCCTGCATGCATGTGTATAAAGGCAGAAGTAGTTGGCCTCCATGGATCATAATAAATGACATGATGTTGGAAGGATGAGGTAAAGAGATTCAGGAGGGTTTGAGAGGATGAGTAAATGTGATCAAAATATATTGTATACGTGTATGAAATTCTTGAATACTAAATAAAATATTTTACAGCACACATTAAAATATTAGTTTAATTCAGCAACTAAAAATTGATTTCAATAACTAACCACTCAACAAAAATAGCTCTAAGAACTTCTGCAAGAGAGCATGAATGAGTTATCATTCCTTAAGCATGAATAAATACTTACTAAAAATTAAGATTTAATGGTTAATTAGAGATTAATTAGAACAGGACAATACAGAAGAGTAAGCAATCCTGTATTAGGGACTCAACATTTCTGAGTTTACTTAAAAAGTTTGCTCTCTTATTGAGAAAGTCTGCAAATGCCATTTCTTAAAGGTTTCTCCACTCTTTACTTGAAATAATACATGAGATCGTCTGTAGAGAATGAATTGAATTTTTAAAAGTTCATTGTATACAATTTTAAATATTATACTGACATTAGTGAAGACGTGTGCATGTCTACTTTAAGCATAATCATTAAAAATGATCAGCTGTCTTACTATGCTTATCAGGTTATATATAAGAATCATCATTTGAAGTCAGAATCTATATAAGGTTAGTTACTTTGACAATCATTGGGGGAGAGATAGCATGGTAAATTTAGAAATAACCAATGTTGTTACAGAGTTCTTTGTTAGAAAGTTAATAATTAGCTCTTACACTGTGAAGTGAACAGATTCTTTGGACTCATATGTATTGTGAAATTATTGAGCATCCTGTAAAGATGCCGTAAATCAATTAAAACTTACAAACAATTTTATAATATACAGTTGTATGGGAAAGTAAGTGACATTTATAACATTTTGTATATAGTTGCAAATTATAGCACAGCAGCTTCCTAGCAAATATAAACAATGAGAACATAATCCAATTTTACACTTGGAGGTATTCAAGTTTATAGATAATGATTTTTTGGAGACAATACCTTGGAAAGAAAATGTGATATTTTTACATAGCTCTATAAAGAAGTTATATATTTCTTGCAATAAAATGTATGTCATTCCTGTCAATTAAATCAATGTTGTTGTTGCATGCCACTTTAAAGTTCCAGGACAGTTATATAATTATCTATGTAGATAATTATAAAAGAGAAAGGAGACATTTTGGTAAAATATTTTATTATTATTAAGAATAATAATTATGGTTATAAAAATAACAATTTTATTAACTACAGAGAATTTATAATACAAGCCATACCACAGTGTTTCCTTTTGAGCGTAAGCATCCAGCTATCCCACTCAATCGGCAGCTTATCATTGTCCTATTTACATAGGCAGACAAGCTGCAATATCCACAGGATTCAGTTTTCAGCTCCCAAAAGACAGAAGCCTTTTGTGCAAACAGAAATGAACCTATGTGAAAGCGGCACTGTCAAGAGTTAAGGACCTGGGATAGTTCAATGTTTTTATTTGTTTGGTTGGTTTGTTTGCTCTTTCTAATAAATTCTTGGTACAAACTTCAGTTGAATTTTGAAACATACATTCTTTTGTTGACTTGATTATGAAAAGTGATTCATTGCAAATTACTCATTATAAAAAGGCAAATATGTTGTCTTTACCCAAATTCCTTTTATTTTATGAGTTTGCTATAAATGTAAATGAGTGGTTATATACATACAGTTAATGGAATTAGTTATTTTTGAACTTCAGTAAATCAATTTAAGGTTTGCTTTTACTTAGCATGAGATAGTATTGATACTTTCTATTTCCTTTCCTCTATGTTACAAAGCCAGCTTTTTTTTTGTTTGCTTTTTTTTTCATTTTTTAAATTTAAGTTAGAAACAAGCTTGTTTTACATGTCAATGTAAAAGAAAAGAAAATGCCTGACAGTGACTCCCAGTTCTTGACAGTGCTTTTTTCAGGAACGTTGTAGCTGGAACATCCACTCTGCACAGTACCCTTGGTACTAGCAAAAATTATCCACAGTAATAAGTGAAATACAGCTTTGTTAATACATGCCATTATTTTTATTTTTCTTGCCTTCCAGTGTTTCCCATTCCTGTAGATTGAAACACTTAGATAGCAAACCAGAGCCTGTTAGTAGAGACTAACGTGATAGAAACCAGTATACTGAGGACCTGCCCACAGCAAATTGGTAAAAGTTACTTTACATTTAAAATAACATTAAAGAAATATACAAAAAATTTATCACCCCTCTGCACAGCAGAGGCATATGACTAACATTTTAGTTCTACACTTCTATTCCTGCAGACATAAGAAAATGTCTACAATTGTAACAGCGTGGAACTGTTACTCAGTCAAAACAAAACCAACCTTGAAAGCTCATAATTTAAATGGCCCTCTTGTCCATGACACAATATAATGCAGATTTTTAGATAACTTGAATTTTCCTCTCTCTTCCTTTGAAATTCATTCATAGAAAAACATCCCATACATAGTGTTGTTTACAAGTTAACTATACCCTTTCCAAACAAGTAAGATACTACTGCTCTTCTTCACTGTCAATGCCATCCAATTTGCAAATTGCAAACAAAACCTCATGAGGAGAGTTGCTTTACAAGCTATGTTTGGTGATGTAATGACATTTGTTTGCTTTTTAATACAATTTGAAACACTGATTCCAAAGTATCTGAACAGTCGACTACATATTATTCTAGGTAAATTCTGTTTCACTTTTCATGGATAATTACAAAAAAATACACTGAAAGAAGTACTGTAATATGTCAGTATGGTAAACTATTGCAATTATCATAACAGCTATACCAATATAATTTACACTACACATAGCAGTTAAATTTAGACAATCCAGTAAGAAGCTATAAAAGCACTTTAATATTTTAATAATATATCTTTGATATTTCTGTTTTGTTAAAAGGATGTGTTGTTACAAAAGGGAAAGAAAAATACAATGATTGTAAAATGATATGGACTGGCAATTCACTGGATCTCTCCGTATCCACTGATTATGAACACAGTACCTAAGTTATTCCCAAACATATATGCATGTGTATGTGTTTATACATGCACATACACGCACATACACATATGCCACAGCTTGTGCAAGAACTTCTGGATTTACTTCCTGAAGTTATGAGGATGCATTAGGGCAATGATTAAATCTTTGGCCTGCAGATAATTTAAAAGAATTCAATCTCAAAAATGTGAACACTGAATTCACAACACTCAAGTTGTAACTCTTAATAATCCTGATTGATACATGAAGATTGAGAACTTAGAAGTTGTCTGATCACTTTCTAATATCCTGTTTCTGGATATACAACTCTCAACTAGTCATGGCAAGTAGATTAATAAGTATAATTTTAATGTTATCATATATCATAAAATGTAAATGAATATTCCATGTCATTAGCAAAGAGCTTTGTTAAAAGACATGAGATAATATGATGCTGTCTTTATATCATATCTGATTTTTTTCAGAATCAATTATACTTTTAAAAGTAATTGAAACAAAGAATTTTGAAAAAAATTTTCACTTCATATTTTTTCCTATTTCTCAAAGGCTAAGAATTTTTAGATTGAGAAAAATATTTTCTTTTCATTTGTTTCTCCAAAATATTTCAAAGTAAAATTTATTGAAGGGATATCCACAAAGTTTTTCAAACATGGATATTTTTATGATAAATTATTTTTTAAATTTAGTAAGAGTGAGCTAGGAGCCAATCACAGCAGCAACTTTAAATATTAACCCATATAAATACATGTTTGAAGACAGAGACACCTTTAAAGTTCTTCATTAAGACACATTTGAAAACTGAATACATAAATAAGTAGCCCAGATTTGGAGGAAAGAAATAATACAAATACACATATTACTTTCTGCTTTTTAGGACTTAGAATGCACACAAAAACTATGATAATAAATATAAATAAACATCAAGGCTAGTCATTATTTTATCCTATGGGTCCTATCCTGACTTTAAACACTTTCCAGTGGAGATCATATACGATATGCACAGAGTCATCATTTATACCTTGTACCCTTCCTGAATATTCCCACTGGCCTTTCAAATATTTTAAATTTTAGAATAAATACAGACACATACATCCAAAATATTTAGAGATTACACTAGTTACATCATGTTTTGAATTGTAATATTGCTGTATGTGTACTCAGCCAGGTGTTATAGTCATGTGTTTTTGTAAAAGGATATTTGTGTGTTGATATTACAAGTTATATGTTGTGAAAAAATGAATGAATTATAACCTGTGCCATATGAAGCATAATATAATTTAATACAGAGTTACAAGTTAAAAACACAAGGTATAAATGATTTTGGTAGGGTTAAAATAATGTTTAACTTATGATTTATTCATCATTAAGATATTAACCTGGAAAGCAGTGTAGGATGATTAACCTTTTCTTTTAAATCTTTTATCATCTAGCAACTATACTTTTGCATTTTTTTAAAATCCATTCAAGTATCTTCAGGAGATATGTTACTGCACTTACAGGTACCTTAATTTACTTCAACATTTACAAAATAACACTGACAAAAAAAAACATCAGAAAACACCCATATATATTAATGAGTATCTGAACACTCACAACACTCAAGTAGTTGTTTTAGGATTGGTTTAGGTGACACTTTAATCTTGAAGTCTCTGAAATCCTCATGTATTGATGGACGCTTCAAAAACATTGGCTTCTTCTATGGCTATTACAACTTGTATGTCAAAATTACTTTGTGTATCCACTTTGCATAATATGCTACTCGGACAAAAATACCAGGACGATTTGGGATGGCACATCCACGGCCAGGAACAATGACACCAAGAACCATTCTCATTTTGTGTTGTTCACAAATGAGTGGGCCACCATAGTCTCCCTAAGAAGAAAAGGCAAGACAAAAAATTACTTTGTAAGTAAAAAGGTAATATTTCTTCAAAAGCATCCACTGTTGACTTGCAGCTAAAGGATATAGTACTGCAATTGTGTCACTTTTTTGTTTTACATTTTAATTATTGTGTGTGTCTTCATGCACGTGGAGATCAAAAGACAATTTGAGGGTTTGAACTCATGTCCTTTGACTTAATCACAGGTGCCCTAACAAACTGAGCCATCTCTCAGTATCTCACCCCACACACACACACACATACCAAGTAATGTCAATTTTTTATTTATTTGTTGTTGATAATCACCATTTGTTCAATATTAACATTTGGAAAAGGTATAGAATTGTAAAATAGAGAGAAAATCCACTTGCAATCATGTGATTTAATGATTAAGCTTCATTAAACTTTCTCTTCTATCTAAAATACTCTTTGCCTTCCCCCCAAAAGATGTCTTAACAATTCCAACAGGAAATCCTTATATTCAAAATAATAATTCTATATAATTTGGAAATTACTTTGCCAAGCATAAAATATCCCTCTATTCATAGTTGATACTATTAGTTAATATAGTTGTAACTTAAATATTTCATTATATCATCAGGTCAAAAATGTGACAAGTGAACACAGATTAACTTGTGCATGTATACAATATATACACATTAATGCACAAATGTAAACTATATGAATATGCATGTATTCATACTACACACCTTTGTATAGATTACTGCTACCACTGTGCTGTACGATTTTCATGTGCCACGCAGCCTCTTAAGAACACAGTACAGAGCTGGAGTGGTTGTTCTCTGCTTAATAGGACTCTATCAGAGGACCCACTTTTGGTTCCCACAACCCAGAGGCAGTGACTTACAATTGCCTGTAACTCCAGCTACTGGGAACCTGACACCCTATTCTAGCTTCCAAAGTACCAAGCATGCATATGGTGTACATATAAGCATTCAAGCACTCATACATGCACATAAAAAAGAGTACAGTGGCTAGCTTTAGACATCCTTATATAAGTAAGAATGTTTGAGATTATCTTCATTTTCCTCTAAAAGCGATACAATTTAAAAAAAAATTAAATAAATGTTGTAAAAGTTATTTCTGTATTATGGGCAGAAAGAGTGAGACATTGATATATTTTGATAGGGAAATTAAGGTAGACCTGATATAAAATGTCAAACAGTACAGAAACATGGGGGAGGGCCTAGTCCCTGCTCAAAATGCTGACAGACTTTGAAGATCCCCCATGGAAGGCCTCACCCTCCCTGGGGAGCAGAAAGGGGAAGGAATGGGGGAATTGGTGGGGAGCAGGGGAGGAAGGGATGGAGAGGGAACTTGGATTGACATGTAAAACAAGCTTGTTTCTAATTTAAAGACTAAAAATATAACAAAACAAGAAGTCTTTTTTCTAAAGACACCTTTTATATACCAGCCCCCATAAGGGAATAAAGTTAAGGTTTAAATAATATACCAGTGATTCATGACAGGAACTTTTCAAAATGACTTTCTTGGGAGATTTTTGTGTAGATGCTCTGCCACTTCTACCATATAGAAATTTAGGGTCATTCTCTTCAAATATTCTTGATGGATAAAATAACCAAATGAAAGATGCAAAGAGGCTGGGAGGAAAGAAGGGGTGAGAGGAGAGAGGGCAGGGAGGAGGGGAGGTCACATGAGAACATGTGAGTCTTTGGAATGACAGCCATCTCCTTGGAAGGTATGAAAGTGATGGAAAGCTAACTCTTCGCCATGAGTTCAGAAATTTAAACAAAGGTTAGAAGGACAAAAATTTCAAGGGTAAAGTAAGGAAACTAAGACTGTACAGTAGATAATGATGGTGAAGGCAACTTTGCAAGTTACCACATGATGGGTGATGAAACAAGGGAAGCACCTACATTTCTCTATACAGGATCCCACAACCCCACCTGATTTCAAACCCCTGAGCTCTTAGACTTAAACATTATCTTTTTTCCTTGTTAAATATTCCTCCCACTATACCATAATAATGCTCACTGTCTAGAAAGAAACTAACCCTTTCTGAATTTATATAAAAACTCCATAACACAATAAACACATACTTATCAGGAATAAAAAATATGTATATGTCAGGCATACATTTTAGCATGCTTATATTCTACACTTAGGACATACATTCTTTCACATATCAACATCATATCAATATCACACAATTATTCAATTCACCACACAGAGTATTCCAGCATCCCACAACTTTCTACACAAAGTATTCCATCATGCCACAACTGAGGCTTGAAGAATATGCTTCTCATATTCAAAATCTATCTAAAATGATAACTTAGCAGCCTGTCTGTGTAAAACAAGAAGGAGAACCATGCCAAGTTGTAGGAAAAGTTGCTTAACACATGAAAATAACCACACTATTAAAGTCACTGACATTGACCTTTGGTTAAAAAAATATAAAATTTCATTAGAAATGTAAACACCCTTCCCGCAGCACCCTTGAGAACTTCAAATGAGGCATGTATCCCCTAATATCAACAGTAGAGTTCACCCAGGGACTCATGAAGATGAACCAATTCATAAAAGCACTAGAAGACTAGTTTTCATACTTCTAACCAGTGCTTCCTTTGAGACTTCTTCAGTTCATATAGTATTCTTTTTAGAGACAAATGCCTTCACCATGTTTTGTGAATGAAGTATGGGCTGGCTCTCTAGTCAATTAAAAGAAATGATCAAGAATTAAGAAGGTGTCTTTTCTGCACTTCCCTTCTCTAGGAATAGGTTGGCATACAAATATTAGGATTTGACAAAGATAAACAGAAAACACCCAAGAAAATATGACATTGGCTTTTAAGACATTTTTGTTTTAGTTTGGTTTTTAAGGCAGACTCTTGTCAAAAACTCAATCTTCTTGTATCAGCTTCCATAGATAGCCTATTAAACGACTATTAAAGGACTTTTTTTCTTTACCTCGCATGGTCCTGATCCAATCTTTTCAGCCCCAGCACACAGTTCAGACTCACTTAGAGTCACCTTCCCTTGATGATGCTGACGGCATCTCTCATTTCCCATAATATACAGATGTGCTACTCGTAATAAACCATCCGAGTTGATCACTAGGACAACACAGAAAATATACAGTTAATGAGCAATGAGTAAAAGTAAGGAAAGCAAGAAATAGAAATGTTTTATATGTTAAATAACTATTCTATTCCCACGTGTCTTATAAATTAGCTTACATCCAGTGTAGCCCCAGCCATAAACACTGCAAGTGGTCTTTTCAGGTATTGTGCAGCCATAATTCGGTAAATCAATTGTACTGACAAAGTCATCCAGGACCGCAGGCCTGAAAAGACAAAGTACAGTGTGAGTACTCTGTGGGATACAACTCTACAGAAACAAGTTTGTCATGTACATGCAATGCCAAGTACAATATTAAGATCAAGGGAATCTTAGTTATTACAACAACAGGAAAAAATATGGGACAAAGCTTGGGATAAGTTACAGAGGAAGGAGACATTTACTAGTAATAGTCTTCAATAAATGCTCACCGTGCAAAAATTACCTTGATTTTTTTTCCTAAGGAATCAAATAGTTGTTTTTAAGCTTTAATTTTCAGGTTGTAAGAATATTGTACCAAATTCACTTATTGCTGTTTGAAAGTCATATGATGTCACTTTCTAATATACATCCACATGCACACATAAATATGTACCCATGATATATGGGAATATATATAATAAATACATGTAATAAAACTACATGCAAGAGAAACTCAGCTGAAAAACAATATTTCAGGAAATCAAGTTTTCATTAACATGCAAAATAGTGTCTAGAAACCAACCGAGCAAGCTTCAGCAACACCAGATCTGAGCCTTCCGGTCCATAGACCAGCTGGGAAATGTTGAGAACCTGTTTGCGTTTCTCCTCGCCTCTGCCATGGACATCATGAATTCCAAGCCAAGCTTCATAATCTTTCAAGTCTTTGTTTCTAAGTAGAAAATTAAAATCCAAACTATAGTGTATATGTATAGGTTGTTATTTATTTAACATATAAACTTATTTATTTAACTTATAAAGATAAACACCTACATTAAAGTTTGAGCAAAGAATAATGCATAACCACACAATTATTAGGGAGATTCTGAACACCACAGAGGTATTGAAGCAGAGAAAGCTTGCAGAAATTCTAAGGCTATTATGTTTATAAAATGTTTTATTATAATTTCTACAAAGAAAGACACCTGTTATAAAATCCCCATGTTCTTTTCATGAATTATAATTTGCACAGAAATTTTGTTTACTTTCAGCAGTGTACATATTTGGTTTTGTACACGATGGAACAAAGAGAACATCTTCAACAAATGGTGCTGGCATAACTGGTTGCAGAAATATAGAAGACTGCAGTTAGACCCAAGCCTATTGCCTTGCACAAAACTTAAGTCAAAATGGATCAAAGACCTCAACATAAATCAAGCTATGCTGAACCTATTAGAAGAGAAGTGGGAAATACCCTTGAATTAATTGGTACAGGAGACTGCTTCCTGAACATTACACCAGTAGCACAGACACTGAGGTCAACAATTAATAAATGGGACCTCCTGAAACTGAGAAGCTTCTGTAAGGCAAAGGAGACAGTCACCAAGACAAAATGGCAGCCCACAGACTGAAAAAAGATATTCACCAACCCCACATCTGATAGAGGGCTGATCTCCAAAATATACAAAGAACTCAAGAAG